CTCTCTCTCACTGTCCACTCTGCCTGTAAAAAAAAAAATATATATATATATATAGAGAGAGAGAGGATTCAAAATTTTTTTCCACCAACATTTTTTATCCCATTTTCCCACCTACTTTCTGAAGTACCATTGTACAAATAGATTGAAATATGAATAATGGGGTGGGGGGATATGTTTGGCCTAGAGCTTAAGATATACCTGCTTCCCATATTAGGGTGCCTGGATTTGATTCCTGACTCCAGTGATGGCTCAAGTGATTGGGTTGAATGTTTGAAGTTTGTATACCTCAAATAAAGGCTTCTGGGATTTAAAAAAAAAAAAGGTGGAGATGGAGAGAGAAGAAGGAAGGCAGGGAGGGAGGGAGGGAAAAGAAATAGCAATGGACTAAGATATACTTGAAAAAGCTAAGATTCAAATTGAACCGTATAGAATTTCTGAAAATATAAGTTCGAGTAATGAAGGTAGAGCTGAGTGGAATCACTGGGCGGGAGAACTCTCTGGAACAGTTGTTTCCGAGTGCAACACAGAAACAGAAAGTATGGGTAAGAGCTGAGAAGAGAATTGAGAAGGCCTAGCAGACATATTAATGTTCTAGGAGGAGAAAGAGAATAGGGAGAAGGTAGTGTTTGAAAAGAGAAAGGCTGGTAACAAACAGGAATACCAAGCAGGAGCAATAAAAAGAATTTCTTGCCAGTTGTATCATGAGAAAATAGCATACAAAGGTATTGGAACATCCCATCATACTCTGTTAATACACATAATTTTTATGTGTGTATTAAAAGCTTTTCCTTTAAATTGTAGGTATTGTTTTTTTGTTTTGTTTTGTTTTTATTTATTTGAGTGACAGAGAGAGAGAGGTCTTCCATCTGCTTGGTTCGCTCCCCAAATGGCCACAATGGTCAGAGTTGTGTCAATCTGAAGCCAGGAGGCAGCAGCTTCCTCTGGGGCTCGTACATGGGTACACTTGAGCCATCTTCTACTGCTTTCCCAGGCCACAACAGAGCTGGATCAGAAGTGGAGCAGCTGAGACTCGAACTGGCACACATATGGGATGCCGGCACTGCAGGAAGCAGCTTTACCCGCTAACTCATAGCACTGGCCCCGAAATTGTTTTTTAAACTACAAAATTCTATGGGCTGGTGCCATGGCTCACTTGGTTAATCCTCTGCCTGTGGCGCCAGCATCCCATATGGGCTCCGGGTTCTAGTCCAGCTTTCTGCTGTGGCCTGGGAGGGCAGTGGAGGATGGCCCTAGCGCTTGGGCCCTGCACCCACGTGGGAGACCAGAAAGAAGCACCTGGCTCCTGGCTTCGAATTGGCACAGTGCTGGCAGCGGCGGCCATTTGGGGGGGTGAACCAATGGAGGGAAGACCTTTCTCTCTGTCTCTCTCTCTCTTTCACCGTCTATAACTCTACCTGTCAAATAAATTTTTAAAAATATATAAAATAAATTCTGAAAAGAAAAATGATTTTGAAAGCAGAGAACACTGTGAACAGAGATGACAAATTCTAGCAAACTGAATCCAGCAGCACATGGAAAGATTTTACAGATGACTGTGTGGGATTTATCCCAGGAATGGGAGATTAGTGGATATAGGAAATGAGTCCACACAGTGGGTATACCATAGTCACAGAGGGGAGAAAACACATGAGCAAAAGATGGAGGAAACACTCGGCAGAACCCAGTGCCCTTTCATGATGAGAGACCTCACACACTAGGAATTGAAATGGAGGAAGTTCAAATGGATAAAGGTCATCAAGATAAAATCATACTTAATAAGGTAGGTAGGACTGAAAGCATTCCCCTAGGATCAAGAGCAAGAAAAGGATGAGTAGCCAGCGCCTCGGCTCACTAGGCTAATCCTCTGCCTTGCGGCGCCAGCACACCGGGTCTAAGTCCCGGTCAGGGCACCGGATTCCGTCCTGGTTGCCCCTCTTCCAGGCCAGTTCTCTGCTGTGGCCAGGGAGTGCAGTGGAGGATGGCCCAAGTGCTTGGGCCCTGCACCCCATGGGAGACCAGGATAAGTACCTGGCTCCTGCCATCGGATAAGCACGGTGCGCCAGCCGCGGCGGCCATTGGAGGGTGAACCAACGGCAAAAGGAAGACCTTTCTCTCTGTCTCTCTCTCTCACTGTCCACTTGCCTGTCAAAAAAAAGAAAAGGATGAGTGCTGTTAACATTTCTGTTCATTCTACTAGAGATTTTAGGCAGGGCAAAGAGCAAGAAAGTGAAATTAACAGCATTCACACTGGGAAGGAAGTAAAACTGTGTTCACAGACAAAGTTAACTTGTATTTGAAAAACCTTAAGGAGCCCTCTGTCAGAGCTAATGAGTGAATTCAGCAAGGGAACAGGATATAAGATCAATATACAAAAAAGAAAGAAGGAATTCACTTGTATTTTTGTGTACTAGTAATGAATAAAAAGGAAATTAAGAAAAAGAATTCCATTGATAGTCACCAAAAACTATCAAATAGTTGCTGAAAGAACTTAGAGATCTAAATCCATGTGAAGTGTCTGGTGTTCACAGTTCGGGAGACACACTGTTGTCATGTTGCTGCCACCCAGCAGGGTCTTCAGATTCACTGCAAATCTTATCAAAATGCCAACTGAATTTTTTTTCCATAAGTTGACAGACTGATCCCCAAATTCATGTGGAAACATTAGGGATCCAGAATAGCTAAAAACAAGCTTGTTTTTAAGTTATTTTATTTTATTTTATTTTATTTGAAAGTTAGAGTGATGGGGCCAGCACTGTGGTGGAGTAGGTTAAGCCTCCACCTGTGGTGCCAGCATTGTACATGAGTGCCAGTTGGCATCCCGACTGCTCCACTTGCGATCCAGCTTCTTGATAATAGCTTGGGAAAGGCTGTGGAAGATGGCTCAAGGGCCCCTGCACCCACCCACATGGGAGACCCAGAAGAAGCTGCTGGCATCAGATCGGTTCAGCTCTGGCCATTTGGGGAGTGAACCAGCAGATGGAAGGTTCCCCTCTGTCTCTCCCTCTCTCTCTGTAACTCTGCCTCTCAAATAAATAAATAGAAAAAAGAACACGTGTTTTAGATTAGATGGTGGTAATCAGTGAGTAACCTTGTGAATATCCTGGAAACCACTGAATTGTGCATTTTAAATGGGTGAACGTGGTGGTGAGTATACCAGAACTCCTTGGAGAGTTATTTCAGGTCTGGGGCCAAAAACAAGATGTGTATAGAATCTCTTGCCACATCGGAAGGTAACAAAGCTCTCGTAGACCAAGGGGGTCTAGTCGGAGGGGTTCAGGAACCAGTGTGAAAAATTCCCACTGCCCACAGATGAGACAGGCTTGAACCTCAAAAACAATCAGTCCAGTAGACTGAGGCACATCAGATCACTCAGACCCCATGATGCAATACGAGCCGTTGGCAAACCAAGACCACTCACCGGCCATCTTTGGAGGAGGTTGGGGAATTAAGTCACTGTTTTGGAAATAGGTAGCTAAAGGGAAAGGACCAAGCAACCGGTTCCTCTGGTTCCTGCCTAGTAAATGAAGAAGGAATGATAGACTGAGCCAAAATTTGACAGCTTAGTCCCATGTGGGTGGGTAGAGAGGTCTTCAGAAAGTTCGTGGAACATGCATAGTTATTTAAAAACTGTATGTGTTTAAAAAATTTTGGCAACAAAATCTTTTAATTCCATTCTCCATGAGCTGTTTGAGACACTCATTTAATACACACCTGAGAGTCCCTACTAAATATAAAAATAGCACCGAAACCTCACTTTAACATTTAATTAATTGCCACTTTGAAAAAAAAAATAGAGTATTTTCCATATATTTAGGTCGAAAGAACATGTTAAATGATACTAAGGTGACATAATTAAGAAAATTTGGGGACAGGTGTTTGGCAGTCATTAAGAATCTGCTTGAGGCTGGCACTGTGGCTCACTAGGCTAATCCTCTGCCTGTGGCGCCGACACTCTGGGTTCTAGTCCCGGTTGGGGTGCCAGTTCTATCCTGGTTGCCCCTCTTCCAGGCCAGCTCTCTGCTGTGGCCCAGGAAGGCAGTGGAAGATGGCCCAAGTGCCTGGGCCCTGCACCCACATGGGAGACCAGGAGGAAGCTCCTGGCTTCAGATCTGCACAGCACTGGCCTTAACAGCCATTTGGGGGGTGAACCAACGGAAGGAAGACCTTTCTCTCTGTCTCTCTCTAACTCTGCCTGTCAAAAAAAAGAAAAAAGAATATGCTTGGGACGCCTGCATGCTGTCTGTGTGTGCCTGGGTTTGAGTCCTGCACGCCAGCTTCCTGCTGTGGACTCTGGGAAGCTACAGCAGGTGATGGCTCAAGTACCTGGGTCCCTACCACCCAAGTGGGAGACCTGGATTGAGTTCCAGTCTCCTAGTTTTGGCCTGGCCAAGCTTTGGCTGTTGTGGGTATTTGGGAAGTGAACAAGCAGAGGAACCTTTCTATGTCTCTCTCTCTTTCATATAAATAAAAATAAATTTTTAAAAATAGAAAATCTGGCCCTCAGGCCAAGTGACCCAATTTCTTCAACAAATAAATTATAAGATAAAAATGAACACAGGATAGCATGACAGTAACATAAATTAGGACGTTATTGATTGGAGCTTAAACCTTGTGTTCTTTGAGAAAAGGATAAAAATAAATATTGACTCACTTCAGTTTATGTGCTGTGTGCTCATTAAAATTCTCACCAGCCTCTTAAAGAATAGAGTGTAAAATTTCAAGCCATGAGCGAGGGCGGATAAAAAGACCAGTCAGCTAAGAGGGGGAAAAAAAAAGCATTAAGAGGATAGAACGAAAAAGAAGTTACAAAGTAAGATAATGGGTAGATTTGTAAGATAATGGGTAGAAATCTTAATACATTGTTCCCAGTAATATATATAAGAACATATTGTTCACATGAAACATACCTGAAACTTGTAACTAAAAGAACAGAAAGAATAGAATTAGAAAACCAATATACTCTTCAGAGAATGTGAAGATTTGTTTTTTTCTATTTTCAGGCTAAAGAAGAAAGAGTTTAGTTTGGAAGAAATATATACCAACAAGAATTACAAGTCTCCTCCTGCCAACAGGTAGGTACATAGAGCTGAGAGAAGAGGAGCAGGAAGAAGTATGAAATGATTGATGTAAATCTACAGTCCTTGCACTCCCCAAGAGTCTCTGTGCAGTTCAGTATGTTTAGTTCCCACTGCTTGACTTGGGATCAGCAAGAAAGGAAAGAAATGCGTGCTGGGTGAGATTGGTACAGAAAACATTTTCACTTTGTACTTGTGTTTTTACCAAAGATGCCGACTTCTTCAGTTCTGATAATCACTAATCTTCAGATGCAGTTCCAAACACAAATACACAAATACAGAAACAGTTTTCCTAGGCCACCGGTGAGTCTGAATTCAGTTCCGGTCGGGGCCTGAGCTGTGCAAGATACAGCAGAAGAGTTCCAGGATGCCACCCTAGGATTATGTACACGTGCGCGAATGTCCTATACACAGTGTGCATTGCAGCATTGCTGAATTATAGCAGAGTGTTGGAAACAATGCAGAATACTCATTACTGGGGTGCTCATTAAATTATAATCCATGGGGCCAGCATTGTGGGTAATGGGTTAAGCCGCTACCTGCAACACTGCCCTCCCATATGGGTCCTGGTTCAAGTCCTGGCTGCTCCACTTTGGATCCAGTGGGGAAGCAGCAATAGATGGCCCAAGTTCCTGGGCCCCTGCCACCACCTTGGAGGCTCAAGAAGCTCCTGGCTTCAGGCTGGCCCAGAGCTGCCCATTGTAGCCATTTGAGGAGTAAACCAGCAGGTGGAAGGTTCATTTACTCTCTGTCTCTCTCTCTAACTCTGCCTTTCAAATCTTTAATCCATCCTTAAATGGAATACACTGTACCTATAGACGTTTAATATATACAGCTATTCAAAAATAAGTCAGATAACTTTGCAATACGTGGAACATGCTTTAAGTTTATGAGGAGGTCCAGAGGAGCCCAGTGTGTATAGTTTGCTGCTGTCTGAGTAAGGAAAAGCAAGAGGAAGAAGAGTTTGGCCTAGTAGTGAAGATGTGTTAGGATGCCCCCATCTCATATCAGAGTGTCCAAGTCTCAGCTCAGTTCCTAGTTCCGGCTTCCTGCTAACATACACCCTGGGAGGCAGCAGGTGCATGAAGGATTTGGGTCACTGCCACTCAGGTGGAAGACCTGGATTGAGTTCTCAGCTCCCATCCTTGGCTGGCTGACTTTTGGCAGTCATTTGGAGAAACAGCCTCTCAAGTAAATTTAAAAAAAAAATTTTTTTTTTAAGATTTATTTTATTTAATGGAAAGACTAAGGGTTACAGAGAGAAATAGAGCCAGAGAGAGAAAGATCTTCCATCCACTGGCTCACTCCCCAAATGGCCACAGTGGCTGGAGCTAAGCTGATCTGAAGCCTGGAGCCAGGAGCGTCTTCCAGGTCTCTCCAGGTCTTGGGTTCAGGAGCCCAAGCACTTAGGCCATCTTCTTCTGCTTTCCCAGGCCATAGCAGAGAGCTGGATCAGAAGTGGAGCAGCTGGGACTCGAACTGGTGCCCATATGGGATGCTGCACTGCAGGCCAGGGCTTTAACCCACTGCGCCTCAGCTCTGGCCCCAAAAATGAAATATTTAAACTAACAAAATAAAGAGTATATGCCATGAGTCAACAGGCTGTATAGACTACAGACTAATCCTGGTGTTGGCTTTTTGTTTCTTTGTGGTTTTTTTGTATGGCCCATAAACTAAGAATGCTTCTTTTCTCCAAAAAGAAGAAAAACAAAACAATTTGTTTTTTGGTTTTTTATTTTATTTATTTATTTGAAAGGCAGAATTATAGAGAGGCAGAGAGAGAGAGAGGTCTTCCATCTGCTGGTTCACTCCCCAGATGGCCACAATGGCCAGAGCTGCGCTAATCCAAATCCAGGAGCCAGGAGCCTCTTCTGGGTCTCCCACACAGGAGCAGGGGCCCAAGGACTTGTGCCATAGCAGAGAGCTGGATCAGAAGTAGAACAGCTGGGACTCAAACCGGTGCCCATGTCTGATGCCACAGCACTGGCCCCGAAAAACGAAACAATTTGTAACAGAGGCCTATGTGGCTTACCAAGTTTAAAATAGTTTCTGGCCCTTTACAGAAAAGGGGAAATTCCTTAAATGATTTTTGGAATGATACACACAAAAAATTAGTGTTTCCTGGGTTTGGAGGTGGTGGTAGAATGTGTTATTTTTTCAGTGTTTGAATTTTATTTCTGTGTGTGTTTAACACTTACAAATGCATCTATAGGGGTTTTTTTTGGTTTGTTTGTTTTAAGATTGATTTTATTTTATTTGAAAGACAAAGTTACAGAGAGAAGTAGAGACAGAGTGAGAGGTCTTCCATCTGCTGGTTCACTCCCCAGATGGCTGCAATGGCCGGAGCTGTGCCGATCCGAAGCCAGGAGCCAGGATCTTCCTCTAGGTCTCCCACGTGGGTGCAGGAGCCCAAGGACTTGGGCCATCTTCTTCTGCTTTCCCAGGCCGCAGCAGAGAGCTGGATCAGAGGAGGAGCAGCCAGGACTCGAACCGGCGCCCTTATGGGATGCCGGCACTTCAGGCCAGGGCTTTAATCCACTGTGCCACAGCGCTGACACCCTATGGGGTTTTTTGTTTTTTTTGTTTTTTATACTAAAAAAATAATAACAGGTACTGGCCAGAGGAAACAGTGTGGTAAGGATTAGTTAGTACAGGTAGATTTCAGACCCCATGGGCCGAAAGGGTTGGTGAGCTAGGAGATGCACCACGTGAGAGTTGGTCTGTTGGTGATTCGTTTTATACTCCATCCTCAGGTGTCTAGAGACCATCTTTGAGGAACCCAAGGAACGAAATGGTACGCTCATCTCCATCAGCCAACAGAAGAGGAAGCGGGTCCTAGAATTTCAGGATTTTACAGTCCCACGAAAGAGGCGAGCCCGAGGCAAAGTCAAGTTGGCGGGCAGCTTCACCCGGGCCCAGAAGGCAGCTCTGCAGAGTCGGGAGCTGGATGCCCTTCTGATACAGAAACTGATGGAACTGGAGACCTTCTTTGCCAAGGAAGAGGAGCAGGAGCCGTCGGCAGGCTGTTGAGAAGCAGTTCGGTTTGGGAGTCTCCATTTTAGATGTTTTTAGACCGCCTCGGAAGGGGTTGCCTACTTTTGCCCTACCGCCCAAACCACTCAAGATGCTCAGTCCGTGAGTTTTTACCTTTAAGGTGCAACCATTTAGGAACTGGCGAAGGAGGGAAGGAGGATCCTCTACTTCTACTGCTGAGATCAGAACCTCAGGAATGCTCCCTTTCTCCTGGAAACGGTCCTGTCCCGAATGGCATCTTGCCGTATCCTCCAGCCTCTGCCAGCCACAGGAGGAAGAAGCTGCGTATCTCAAGTAAACACTAGGATTCCGAGGACTCCCCGTATTTGCATGTCCGTATGAAAGTCCCGCTTTGTTTACGGTGGTGCTAAACCAAGATTATCTAGAAACGTGGCCCAGGGAGGGGGCCCCAGCGTCCTGTCCTGCGTCGTCTCCCCCAGCTCCTGGCAGCCATAGAGGAAGGATGAGCTGTTGTGTTTTCTAGTCCCTCGAGTGTGTCTGCCCACAACCTGTTTGCGTAAGTGTGTGTGCGTGTGTGTGCTCATGTTGTATGCGTGTGTGGCTTTTCCCCATCATTTTCTGCCCTCTGTGACTGTGGGTCACCAGTGCCAGAGGAGCCCGTCCAGGCCCCATTCGGAGTAAGTTGCACTTTTTAATGTTGTGATGTTGATTATTTTCATTTGTTTTATTTCCTTTTATTTTTTTGTATTATTATTGCTGCATGTTTGGAGCCTTTAAATGTGATTTTTTAAAAACAATTTTCTAACGACATTAAGGAGAAGGAAAATACACGTGTCTTACACGGCAGGCATTGGCCCCAGCTGACGGGTGCGTGGAACAGATATTTTCTCGTTTGTGTGTTCCCAGCAGTCCCCTCCCCATCTCTTGCTTCTTGTAACTCATGAGAGGGGCACCGTTTTCACGTGGGTTTCCTTCTTGCCCACTAGGTACATGTGTTTATTTTAGTGGTGGAAGAGCAGGTTTCTCTCCCAGTGATTTTAAAGACTCCCAAGATTGAGATTGAGTGTGGTCCCAGTGGGTTTTATCTGAAGTTGTAAAACACAACAAAGTTGAATACAACGGCTTGGCTGCTGCTGAAGGCCGACCCAGAGATTGGTAGCTGTCAGAGCGACCTGCTCCAAGAGCTGGGGTGGGGAGAGTCGGAGTAGTGGTTCAGACCCAGCGACCTGTTCTTGTGGCACAATCGTGAAAGTCCACATGTCCTGTGGGCTCCTGCGTCAGGCATACTGGGAATGCCAAATGCCAGAGGCAGCCGAGTTTCCGGGTCTGGGCAGCGGGAAGCTGGGAGCCCAGCAGGCCTGGAGGCCTCATTCCTTCCCCCTGAATCCTGTGTGCCCTGGCCCTGCTGCCCCTCCTTTCCCTCCCCTCCCTCCCTCGTGGTTTTTCTTTCTCTCAAAACGAGAGTGCAGAGAATTGACATTCCTTGGCTGGTGAGTGGGCTGCTGAAGGCAGCCTCAGGACACTGGTCACCTCTTGCTGTCCTCTCGGAGCCACTGCCGTGAGGCAGCCTCCCATGAGAACCATGAGCTCCAGGGACGTTGCTGGGTCAGTCTGCTAGGGGAGAGCGAGTGGTGCCGTCCAGGAGCGTTGGCCGACTCTCCTAGGTTTCTTTGGCTTCCCCCATTTGGTTGGGGTAGGGGAGGTGGAGGGAGGGAATCGAGGGTGTCTATGTGCCTTCCGCGGGTTTACAGTCTGTGCCACACTGGAGTAAAAAAAAAAAAAAAAAAAAAAAAAAAAAAAACTAAAAAACTGACATGAGCCGGATAGAAAGTGCCACATCTGTCTTTGACGCCTGCTGCCTCAGACGTAGCATTAGTCAAAGCGAAAGACAACAGCATGCTCATCTAAGGCTAGGGCCAGACAGGATTGAAGGAGCCACATTCCCGCACCGGCTCTGAATGGTCCTGGTCTGATTCCGCCCGTGCCTGTCTCCAGTGCCCTGGCTGTGTGGACAGGACGGGTCTCGCCTCAGCACCCCTTCCCTCCCCAGGACGGGGCTTCTCAGACACTAGATGCTTCTTCCTTTTGTTTAAGGAAGTGGGAGGAGTTGTGTACTCTTAGGGAGCGTAAACCAGCCCTGTTGGCCAGCTCCCTTGCCAGTGTAGATGAGGCGGTGGTGTCATCCGGCCAGTGAAACGTGAGGTGGCATAGCTGTGGAATCACCAGCGTGACAGAGACGCAGCTTCAAGTTTGCCTGTCACAGGCGTGGCCCTGGACACAGCCTGGGGCAGTGATTTGGAACGTTGGCATCTAGGACTGCAGGAGAGAGACACCTGGGCTCCTTCCTTGTCCAGAAGGTGGTGGGGAGAAGCTGCTCTGAGGCCAGCCCTGCCTGTCCTTGAATTCTTGGTCCGCACCCTGGCTGGGGTGCCTCCGCTGCTAGGAAGTTAAGGAGGCACCCCGCTCCAAACTCCCGTAACTTCCCTAAAGTTGATCATCGCCTTCTAGCCAGGCTTGGCCTGACCTGTCTTATCCAGTTTTGCCACCGGCCTGGCCACCTGCAGCGCCGTCAGTTGTCCTCGGAGCCTGTGGTCGCTGAGCATGGTGGGAAACACAGGTGAGCCGCTGGCGTGCCGCCCGCCCAGAGCCAGAGGAGTTCTGCACAGTTTGAGGATGGGCTGGGAAGTGAGAGCTGGTTACAGCTCAGCTCCAGCTCACATCTGCAGATGGAGTTCTGAGTTCCCCGTCTGGGAAAGGGAGCAGAAGTCTCAGGTGCGCTCAGGGTTCTGCCCGTCAGCTTGTTGACTGAAGCTTTCCACTTTGCTTTCGTTTGCTTGTTTTGTGTCTTTCAGTGTCTAGCTTATATTAGCCTCCCCCGACTCCTTTGGGCCTCATCTCCCGTTAGTTTGAATGTACCTCATCACCTGTTAGAGCAGATTGTGTCCGCTTCGTCTTACTGACCTTGCCGCTGAGGGAGGTGCAGTGGGAAGACGGGTAGCGTTTGCCTTACTCGGAGCCGGGAGAGCTCAGAAACGTATGCTGTGAATCCCAAAACCCAGCGCTCCTCCAAGAGCTGTGAAAATCATGATACCTTGTCACACTTTTGCCTGAAAGGGTCTTTTTGCCCGGGTGCCAGAGCCAACCTAACGTCAATTCCAGATCCCCCAGCCCAGCCCGGCTCTGGGCACGCTGCTCCGCCCGTGGCTCGTTCCCCACCCACCGGAGGCCTGCGGCGGCACGTCTGAGGCTGCAGGGCAGCCTCCAGCAGCACGCAGCTGGGGCTCTGTCTCCAGGCCGGGAGTCCGCCTCCCGACCAGCACCGTGTTTCTGAAGGTCCGTGGGAGGCCAGCTTTTAGGCAGCGATACTTTCCTCCTGGGGGGAATCGGGAAGTATGCAGTTGGTGCTTTCTTTAATTCCTTTGTTTGTGTACGCATTTCCCCTGGTATCATGGAAAGGACCTCTCAGATAACCACATCGTGGGTGGCTGTATCCAAAGTATAAATAATTGGCCGGAGGTATGGAGCACCCCTCCCTGATTTCTCCTAAGGAGGGGCTCCTTGCCGGAGCTGAACGTCTGCATGTGAGAAGCTGGCTCGGGGAGAGAGACTTAATTCTCCCAGAATCCTGGTCCCGTGTCTTCACCTGGCCACACACTGAGCAGCAAAAAGCGATTTTGACTGTGAAGTGGGGATCCCCAAGTGTGCAGCCTGCCGTCTGGCACTGCAGCCTTCACACCTGAAGCCTGTTAACTGTGTGTCTCCACAAGCCCCTCTCTGGTGCTGAATTGGACCTGCATTCTTGGTGAGAGGCCTCAGTGTCTCTCTCGGGCCAGCCTGGGCCAGTAAATAGCTGCCTGACGTGTTCATATGATCATGGTCAAAAGTTCAGTGAAATTTGTACATTTTTGGTAACATTGGCATACATGATACCCCTGCAGTTCCTTTTCTTTTTGGTAGTTTGTGATCCTAAAATGCTCACTGTTATGTGTGTTAATTTATGAAAATAAAAAAACTTTTTTTTTTGAAAACCTTTCAAATAACTCTCTGGGCTATTTTATTGTTATGGGTTGGTAATAGGTTAAAATTTGCCTGTCATGTTGTGAAGTTTTTTTTTTTTTAATAGTCATTCCACAGTTATGTATCACATCAAATGTTAATTAATGTGCTCACCATCTTCTGAAGCTTGTCCTGTGTTCACAACATGTAGAGCGGATGCACATTGGTGCAGTGGTCAAGATGCCACTCGGGATGCCTAACACCTTAGATCAGAGGGCCTGGGGCCAGGCCCCAGCTCCGCTCCTGACTGCAGCTTCCTGCCAGTGCACATCCTGGGAGGCAGTGGTGATGGCTCAAGTCCTTGGGGCCCCTGCCAGCCACGTGGGAGACATGGATGGAGTTCTGGGCTTTGGCTTGGTCCTGACCCAGCCCTGGCTATTGTGGGCATTTGAGGAATAAACCAGTGGATGAAAGATGTGTTTGTCTCTACCACTCTGCCTTTTAAATAAATAAATCTTTTTTAAAGGTCCTCTCTGGGACTGGCCCAGCAGGTGAAGCTGCCATCTACAATGCGAGCATCCCATAATGGGTGCCTGTTCAAGTCCTGGCTGCTCCCTGCTAATGCATCTGGGAAAGCAGTGGAAGGTGGCCCAAGTCCTTGGGCCCCTGCCACCCAGTAGGAGACCTGGATGGAGCTCCTGGCCCAGCCCTGGCTGTTGCAGCCATTTGGAGAGAGAACCAGTGGATGGGAAATCTCTGTAACTCTGACTTTAGTCTTTAGAAAAAACTGATCTCTATGGTGTCATGCCCTCTTCCAGTGATGGAGAGCTCACTTCTGCAGTTCTGGGACTTCTCCTTACACTGTTATCTTTTAAATTATTTATTTGAAAGGTGGAGAGATCATCCATCCACTAGTTCGTTCCCCCAAATGTCTGTGGCAGCCAGGCCGAAGGCAGGAGCCAAGAACTCCATCCAGGTCTCCCGTGTGGGTGGCAGGAACCCAATATTTGACCATCACCTGCCACCTCCCAGGTGCATGAGCAGGAAGCTGGAGCAGAAGCAGAAGCAGAACACCGTCCCAAGCACTCTTGACACAGGATGTGGGCGTTCCAAGCAGGGGACACGCCACAACACCCATCCCCCAGGGACTTTTTAATGGTGTTCTAGAAAATCCCCAATTCTTCAACTTGCGGGGTGATTAGCTGACTTTCCTGCCCTCTTTCTCAAACCTCCCAGGTCTCCTTCCTTATCAGTAACTGATAGCTTTGTCTAGTGGCTGCTGAGGAGGCAGATGGTGTTTGAGCAGAGCTTCCCCAAACAGCCCAGGCGTGCACCGCACCCACCTTGTGACAGGTGCGCTTAGTGTCCACTGTGCAGCACCTCTGTTTTGCAGCAGGCCTGAGGCCAGCAGTTCCCACCTGGCTCACTCAGTCACTACCGTTCGGTACCCGGCTCAGGCCGCCGTGTGCTTTGTAGCACCTTCTAGCACTCCCCACACGCAAAGTTACTCAGAAAGTCATGGAGGTGGAGCTGGAAGATGAATTTAATTTCGGTGCAAAAGCCCCATTATTGAAATCCATGCATGCAAGGATGTCAGTCACTGCGTGAAAGCTCCTTGCGGTCAGGAACTGTTCCCCCCCACACACACACAACCCCCCCCCACCAGGCACCCAGAACATTACATCACTGCCACTCACCACAATAACTTACCTTTCGGTCAACGATAATCCCATGAGAAATCCTATCAGAATGTAGCACACACAGTCGTGGATGGTGCCTACACGATTGTGTTCTTGGTCTGGATTTGCTGTGCTTTTTAGAGTGTGCTCACAAAGGTTACAGCAAAACTGCTCCATCGGCCCCCACACATCTCACTTTGATGGTTTCTTGATTGCATCAAGGCTGTGTCGAGGGCTTGGCCTATACCATCTAGGTCTGGGACTGTTCACACAATCGCCCAACAAGCAATGCCCAGAGTTCAGTCAGGATGCTGGCTGGATGGCACCGCTCAGTAAACACTTGGTGAGGCTGTGAGTTGCTGCACACACCTGCCCAAATTCTCATCACCTGGCCAGCTCTTTGAGTCTCTCAAGACCCCTTAGTTCCTCTCCCCTCTGCAGCCATTGTTCAAGGGACCTATTGGCAACTGCTCAGACACTGATGTTGGAACCTGGCCCATTCAGCACAGGTCCAGATGCAGCCATACCCGTGACACCCTCTGAAATTCTGATTGGCTGCAGCCCATCACCAGTGGTGATGGCGATAGGGGTCACCCATACAGCTGATGTGCCTGGGAAGTAGCAGCTGATGATTCAAGTGTTCAGGTTGCTGCCAGCCACATAGGAGGCCTAGATGGAGCTCCTGGCTCCCGGCTCCTGGCTGTTGTGACCATTTGGGGAATGAACCAGCGGATGGAAGGTCAGCCTTTCATCCTGCTTTCCCTCTGTCACTCTGCCTTTCAAATAAATTTTTTCTTCAAAAAAACTCTCATGACCTCTCCCTTAAAATACAAAATTTGAACAAGAGGGATCTACCCACAGGCACTCTTGTTCCAACTTTACACTGCAGCCAGAAACCCCATCCTGGTCTCCCGTGTGAGTGGCAGGGGCCCCATCTTCCTCTGCCTTCCCAGGCGCATCAGCAGGGAGTTGAATTGGAAGTGGAATGTGTCTTGGGATCTAAAATGGGTTTTGTTGACGGCATGTATTGGTTTCCTGTTGCTTCTGTATTACCACAAACTTAGTGGCTTTAAAGCACCTGACTTTATCCTCTTATATACTAATCTTTTTAAATTATTTATTTAGTTGAAAGTCAGATTTTACACAGAGAAGGAGAGGCAGAAAGAGAGAGAGAGAGAAAGGTCTTTCATCTGCTGGTTCAGTCCCAAGTTAGCCGCAACGGGCAGAGTTGGACTGATCTGAAGCCAGGAGCCAGAAGCCTCCTCTGGGTCTCCCACACAGGTGCAGGAGCCCAAGGACTTGGGCCATCTTCCACTGCTTTCCCTGGCCATAGCAGATCCAGAGAGCTGGATCAGAAGTGGAGCAGCCAGGACTTGAACCAGCGCCCATATGGGATGCCAGCACTGCAGGCAGTGGTTTTACCCACTACGCCACAGCACTGGCCCCTAGAATCCTTTTTTTTTTTTTTTTAAGATTTATTTATTTATCTATTTATTTATTTAAAAGAGTTGCACAGAGAGAGGAGAAGGAGAGAGAGGTCTTCAGTCCGATGGTTCACTCCCCAGTTGGTCACAACCGCTGAAGCTATGCCAAACGGGAGCCAGGAGCTTCTTCTTGGTCTCCCATGCGGATGCAGGGGCCCAAGGACTAGGTCCATCTTCTGCTGCTTTCCCAGGCCACAACAGAGAGCTGGATTGGAAGTGGAGCAGCTGAGCTTTGAACTGGCGCCCATACGGGATGCCGGTACTTCCGGCCAGGGCGTTAACTCACTGCCCCACAGCGCCAGAGCAAGGCCGACAACCTGTTTCCTTGTTCTTCTCAACTTCTGGCCAATTGTGTTCCTTTGTGACCCCTGCCTGACACCACTTCAACCTGTTGCTTCAGTTGCCACATCACCATCTCCATCTCGCCCATTTGGATTCCCTGCCTTCCTGGTGATGACTTGGGGCTCACCCAGACAACACAGAATAATCTTGTTTTAGGATCCTTAACTTCATGACATCTGAAAAGTCCCCTTCACCTTAGAAGATACCATTCAGGGGTAGGCGTTTGGCCTCGCAGTTAAGATACTGGTTAAGGAGTCCCTGGGTTTGAGTCCCAACTCAAGCTCCTGACCCCAGCTTCTGTTAATGCAGACTCTGGGACGCAGTGGTGATGGCTCAAGGAATTGAGCTCCTGCCACCCACATGAGAAACCTTGCTTGCATTCTTAGTTCCTGGCTTAGGCCTAGCCCAGCCCCAGCCACTGTGAGCATTTGCAGAGTAAGCCAGTGGATGGGTGTGGCTGGAGTTGGGGTTCAGCAGTTTAAGCCACCGCTCATGATGCTGGTCTTGGTTTGAGGTCCAGCTGCTCCACTTCCAGTTCAGCTCCCTGCTGATGCACCTGAGAAGGCATCAGAAGATGGCTTCTGGCCGGCGCCGCGGCTCACTAGGCTAAACCTCTGCCTTGCGGCGCCGGCACACCGGGTTCTAGTCCCGGTCGGGACGCCGGATTCTGTCCCAGTTACCCCTCTTCCAGGCCAGCTCTCTGCTGTGGCCAGGGAGTGCAGCGGAGGATGGCCTAAGTGCTTGGGCCCTGCACCCCATGGGAGACCAGGAGAAACACCTGGCTCCTGCCTTCGGATCAGCGCGGTGCGCTGGCCGCAGCGGCCATTGGAGGGTGAACCAACGGCAAAGGAAGACCTTTCTCTCTGTCTCTCTCTCTCTCACTGTCCACTCTGCCTGTCGACAGTATGAAACAAAAAATGACGATAACGTGGCTTCTTGCCACCCATGTGTCGATCAGAATGAAGTTCCTGGCTCCTGGCCTTGACCTGGCCCAGCCCTGACTCTTGTGGCCATTTGGGTAGTGAACCAGCAGATGAAATACAACAAAAAATGCTTTATGCAGCTTTACTGCCTGTGTAAAGATATTTATTTGAAAGACAGTTCCAGACAGAGGTAGAGCCAGAGAGAGGTCTTCCATTCCACTGGTTCACTCCCCAAATGACCGCAATGGCCAGAGCTGAGCTGAACCGAAGCCAGGAGCCAGGAGCTTCTTGCGGGTTTCCCATGCGGGTGCAGGGGACCAAGCACTTGGGCCAACTTCTGCTGCTTTCTCAGGCCACAGCTCTCACAGAGAGCTGGATCAGAAGTGGAGCAGCCAGGACTCGAACCAGTGCCCATATGGGATGCTGGTGCTGCAGGCTGGGGCTTTAACCTGCTGAGCCACAGCGCCAGCCCCATAGGGGTGCTCTTTATTTCTTCATGTGGATTCGAGTTACTCTGTCCGGTCTTTAGCCTGAGTATTCCCTTCAGTATCTACGACATGGCAGGTTTACTGACAAAATTCCCTCAATTTTTGTTTATCTTCAACATCTTAATTTC